GTCTTAAAATATTGATGATTGGTGTACTCTCTGTGTTTTGGCAAATTCAAATTAGTATGGCGTTTCACAGTTCTGTGTTACATCCTATCATGTTAGTCACGGGCTTTATAGCTTGCTAGACTATAAATTTAGATCCCAGCTTGTAGATCTGGGATTCTGGGGTGATGTCTGGAGTTGCCCAGAGAGTTATTTCACTTGGTATGAGAGGGAAGAACTGAGTCAAACAAATGGTTGTATTTGAGTATTTCAATACAGAATGGTGGCTTTTTTGTTCTTGGGAGCACTGCCTAGGTGGGTGTAGTGTGGGGAGGACCCCCTGCCTCTCAGAAAGTTTCCTCTGTTAAATATGTATTGCTTTGCTGCAAAATGGGGTGGGTGGTGTTGCAGGTGTGGTCTGAAGTCACGTTGGACATAATACTTTGTTCCAGTCTTTGCCAAAGAATAATTTTTCTCTTTAGAAATCTGTGGTAAAGATGGCTTTCACCATGGAACCCATGAGGCACCACGGTGTCTTCGTCTGTACAAGAGAGAAGGAAAGAAAACAGCAGTTTGCACTAGACAGTGTTGTATCCTCCTTGCACCTGAGAGAGAAGGATGTAAAGCTATGAATGGAACTGTGATCCATATACTCCATCATTAATACATTTTTGTATTAAAACACTTGTTAGCAACAATGTAGTCGTACTAAGGTGTGTGGGTGATTTAGCAGGTCCTCCAGATCTCCTCCTAGGTAGGTCATGCAGAAATCTCTTCTGAAATGCTGTTTGCCTCTAGGAATAAATGTGACATGTGAACTGTGTAATTGGTTCCCAGCCATGCTGTGAGGCAGCACCCTCCCGAGACAGGGAGACATGAGGCATACCTCTTTATCTCTGAGCACCCATCAACATGAATGCAAACAGGTGACACGTAAGCCTCTTAGCTGTGTGCTAAAGAGGTGGTGCTAGCAAAATACTCCCATTGGAAGTACTATCTCCAGTGTGCCCCAAGTATTCCTCTAGCAGAGTTTGGGGTAAGTGGCATGCTTTACTTCAAATTGGTGTGCATGAGGAATATCTGATTAAGAGCATATTCAGTTTTCTTGAATTTGACACTGTGCGTGTGTGTGTGTGTGTACACATTTTTATTTGCAGGTTGATACCTTTTTTTTTGCTTGTGTTTTCATTTATTCATGTCTTTGTACCTTCTTTCTTTTTCCTTCACACTTCCATCAGCTCTGGCAACAGAGGTGTTGCATGTTTTGTGCAAGGCCAGTTCAGAAAGCATATTCCCTGCCCCCATACTGCACAGGGGGAATCCTGCATGCCAAACCAATTTCCTTAATTTATGCAGGAGCAGCACTGCCATAGTCTTGAATGTTTTCTCATTGGATGTAAAAATATGAGCCTGTTAATGCTGATGCCGTTTAATATGAAAGTGAATGGACCAGGAAATCCACTGAAGAAGAGCAGCACTTGAATTGCACTTTTCTTGGCAAGTCATGATCAGGACTCGTGTTTCTGTGGAGGCTCCAAAGTGGCAGCAGTAACAGGCACAGCTTAAGTGATGGCTGTGGAGGTCCTGTCAGCAGTGGAAAAGGCCAGTGGAGTTTTCCCAGCACTTGCTCATGGCCCCCGTCCATCTGCATGCCAGGCAAAGTGCAAAGCCAGAGCTCAGTGGCAATTAAAGAGGGGTTTACAAAAGGCAAAACCCTGTGGGGCTTGATGTGAAGCCTAGAACTGTGTCCATCAGTGGATTTTTTTAAGCCAAGGAGTTCTTACTCTTAGAAGCGAGATTAGGGGAAGATGATTCTAAAATTAATTCAGATACTGGGTTTTTGTGACCTGATATAAAGCCTAGATTTTTAAAAAAGCAAAAGTGGGAAAAAAAATTGTATGGGTTCTTAGGAACAGGACCACGACTTCTAAAAACTCTGCAGCAGTGTTTACTATGAATGTACTTTGCTGTGAATGTATTCTTACTTCTGCTATATGGAGCTGGATGCATCTGGGCACTATGACTGCAGGTCTCAGAAGCAGAGGGTGGAGATCACTTTTTAAATATTTGTACAGGGAGGAGGACAAGGCTTGGAGCTGCTGTGAAAATAGCTCTCTGCATGTCTCCAAGGATAGGCTAACTGCGCAGGGTTTCACAAGAACCACTCCCTACAGATACCTGAATAATAGATTGATATTATGGGGTGCAGTGAAAGATGTATGCATTCCAAAAGCCTAAGGAGAAAGTTTCCTTCTCAAGCAAATCCTTCAGAAGGCATTTTTATGCCCTTCCTTTGAAGGGCTCCCAGCCCTCCACTAATCATTTCTAAGTTGTATTTGTTACTGGCCATATGCGGCATTGAGGTTTAAGTGTCTGAATGATGTGGCGTGTTTGTCCAAACAGACACACTACAAATCAGATGTGACACTAGGAATACCTTTAGGTTTTGCTTCCCCTAGGCCTAACCTTGACCTGTCTGTTTTAGCCAGAGCTTTCACTCAGCTCCGTACTGTGGAAGGGTGCAGCTGAACCGCCCCAGTTTCTGATGGCTCCAAGTAGGAGCTGTAGCACCTTTTCCTCCTCTGCAACGTCTTGCACAGAGCGCATGGTAAATTAGCACTTACAAAATAAATTAGCAGTGATTAGGTGGCACTATGGCTTGTACCTGTTACTAAAAGCATGTTCCATATAACTTTCTGTATACTTATAGCTGGCTGACAAAATACCAACAAGACAAGGGACGTACTTCTGTACAGGTGAGGCGGTATAGTAAATGACGTGAGGCTTGCTTGTCTTTCTATAACACACTGGCTCTAAGATTTGCATTTAAGCCTTTTAAACAACAATTAATTTAAGAGTGTTGAAGCTGAAAGAACATGTACTTGAGTCAAGACATAGCTTAGCCCTTTGCCCTTGGAGAATACCTGAGGACTAAAGGAATGTCATATATGAGGTGAAGTCTAAATCATATCCAGTCTTAAGTGAAAACCTGTTTGTTTGCTTTTTAAAATACTTTTCCCTTTCTTCTAGTCTTTTCATTTCAATGAAAAGGCTTTTTAAAGCTACTAGATATTTTTACCTTCCCCAACAGGGGAGGATTTAAAAAATGAAACAAATCCCCCAGACCTCTTTTTCTGATATGTGAATATTTCTACTGGATCAGGGCTTTTAAGTTCTTCTAAAAATGTTCCTGTATCAGTGTGTGGCTGCCTGTTCAACTTGCTTACTTGAATGTGCTTCTCCATCAGACCTGCACGGGGGGTGCAGGCCTGCAGTTGTCGGGTATTTATGTAAAAAACTTACTGATAACTATTACCACAGGGTTTTGTTTCCATCTTTTACTCTATTGCAAAACTTTGCATTAAAACACAACAGCAGAAAGCAAAATAGTTGGCAGTGCTGTGGGGTTGAGTGTGAACTCTCATCACCTAAAACCACTTTTCTGCAAAGTTTTGCTGTCATTGATGGTATAGTGTAAAATATGCCTAGGCTGGGTAAAAGGACTTCAAAACTGGAAATAGCAAAGAAGGGTCAGATGCTTTGCACTGACTCTTTAGTTGGAGAGTATCTGAGTGTAAATTTGATCACTGACTGCCTTTGATCATGTTAAGTCCAATCATGCCTAAGTCAACTAATCACATTTCTGCCTTGTAACCAAGAGCAGTACTAGTATAAAGCTGAAGCTTGAAAGATAGTTATGGTTTTAGCTTAATGGTGGTGATTGGCACCCATGTAATTGAGATACGGAGTTTGACCCCAGCCTTAAACTATGAGATGACATTCAAGAAATGAACTGGTGTTTTGCCATTGATGCAAACTGCTGCAGTGTTTATTTGAAACCTAGTTCAAAAAATACTCATTTACAGTTGAAACAGCAGACTTTACTTTTTTTTTTTTGTCTTTTATTTCATCATTTATCTTATTTTTTGTGTTTTGGTATCTATTTTCCTCCTTCATAAGAGGCAATTTAATCCTAGGTTTATGCTGCTTTTACAATGGTTATTTTAGGCTTATCTTTTCATGTTCATGTCTTTCAACACAACAGAAGGCACCTCTCTACTGTTTGTTTTGGGGGGAGAGAGGCTCAGTAGCTATTCAACAGAAAAGTACTAGTGCAAACATCGATCTTTCTAGTATACATGAAATTCACCAGTGATTTTTGTTATACGGTGCAGCTGTTGCTGCACTTTTATCAGACTGTAGCTAATGTGGTTATTTTTTCAAAAGCTCAAAAAGGATACAGAGAAATTTCTTACATGTGTACGGGCCATGGGAAAATGTGTATGTAGTGTTTAATGGCAATTCAGAATCAAGATTTGGTTTAAATGATTAACTAGCGTCATGATAAAAACTTAAAACTTTGAAAACTGGTCCTCTAAACAAAAAAAACCAACCAAACAAAAAAACCCCAACCAACCAAACAGAAAAAAAAACAAACCCACAAAAAAACACAAACCCCACCACAAAATTGTAACTTGGTTATTTTTCTTCCTCATATGAAAAAAAAAACCCAAACATTTAAAGACTGAAGAATAGTTATTAATAAAGAATAATTGTAATTTTATTTTAAGTATAGCAGGAAGTCTGGAAAAAATTTTTGTTGTGTATGTAAATAATGTCAGAGTGAATGTGAGGTCAGAATTGCATTGCTGGTGGTATCTTTCAGTAGCTTTTGCTAGCTTCCATGCAGGTTAAAAACAACTCTGCAGTTTAAGTTCCAAGTGTCTGGAATACCTTGACCTTGATTTTCAGTCTTTCTTGAAAGAGTTAAAATTGTGTTGCCTTCTCTTCCTAGTAAGAGGACTCTAAATAAAATTAACAAAGCATTTTTTTCTGTCACAGCTGAATGTGGTACTGATAATTGGCATAATTGAGAGTGTAAGATGAAACTAGTGTGAAAGAATACAGAACTGGTCCCACTGCTGGATGCTTTGTAATTCAAATAGTGATTTGTATTTTAAACATTTGTCTAAAGAAACCTTGGCAGAGCTGTTGACTAACTAATCTTTTTGCTTTGCTTTTTCAGGTGTCTCCTGAATTCTCACTATGTCTGATGGGGACTATGATTACCTCATAAAATTTCTAGCACTTGGCGATTCTGGAGTAGGAAAGACCAGCCTTCTTTATCAATATACAGATGGCAAATTTAATTCCAAATTTATCACAACCGTGGGCATTGACTTTAGGGAAAAAAGAGTGGTGAGTTTTCACAAACAGTGTGCTACTTTAAAATGGCATCATGATGGCTAGAAGCTGGTTTTCAAAAACAGGACCTGCTCATCCTCATGTGTAGGCATGCAATCAGTAGCTACTGTGCACTTAGTCTTGTGACAAGTAAATGATGTCATTTTACCTGGTTATTTTTGCCATTGTTCTGTGGTGTTGTCATTCCCCCATTTCCCCTAGAGTTCAAGTAAGAAGAGATGATTCTAAGCAACCACTTCTGCTCAGCATGCGTTGATACGTGTATCTCTGAGTTATACACATAGTACCTGGAGTAGCACTTTTATTGTTGAACTCTGTTAACAAGGAAAGACTAGGCTGTAGTAAAAATGGTTTTGCTGTTTGTGAACTGAAATAGCTAGTGAACAAAGACTGCAATGTTGATTTTAAAACTGTTTTGAAATATGTGAATCAAGTGTGGTATTACGATACATGGAGCTGATCTAGCTTACTAAGCAGTTACCACTGCCAGAGAAGAATGGTGAAAAATAAGGTTGTTTTGTTTTGGTTTTTAACCCCTAAATTGTTATTAAATTAGACAAGCGTTCTTTTGATATGAAGCTGACCACTGTGTTATGGTAACAAGTTGGATGCTGGTCCTTACAGGCCTGAGAAATTGAGTTGGCACAAGCTATTTTTTTTATTCTCATGTAGCAGTATTGAATGCCTTTCAGTGTAATTTGATGACTTCCCCAGTGTCCAAAAATCTGGATGCTGTAACGGGCATGGTGCAGACTGGCTTTTGATGGATGACATAGGATTTGGTTTCCATTTTGGTTGGAAAAGACATGTGCCACAGTAATGGAAGGAGCAAATATCTTAGTGAAATGTGAAACCGGTCTCTCGAGTAAGTTAGTATTTCTTTTGTGGGATAGTAAACCTGGTGGGTTTACTAGTTTAGCATATTTAATAATTTAGGGTAAGATTTAGGTTACACAATCTTGATCATATAATCCACAAGTTGAACAAGTTTATGTGTCTCTAAAGATATGTTTGTAACTCTGGTAATCTTGGGTACAATGGCAGTTGAAGGTAAAGAAGACAACCTAACATGAAGTGTTCTAAACAAGAAATGAGTCTATTTTCATATGATCCTTCCAAAGCTAACAGTTGCCCCTATTTATACTTTCATGCTGAGTAAACTAATGTTTTATCATTATGACTCAATTTCTGCTTTTTAAGTTATATGATAAGATCTACCCTCAACTATTTTTCAGTAACCTTTTGGCATCGAAGAAGAGATGTCATTATCTTTAGGAGTATATTTGGTTTGCTAATAAGGTTCTGATAGTGGTACAAATATATTGCCAGATTGCATGATCTGATTGTTGCTATCTTATATTCTAATTTGAACATGATACAAGACAATAACAAACAACAGAAAATCAAAATACTAAAATTAAGCTTGTCTAATGAATGGCTCTAACATCTGTTTGGAGACCATAGTCTCTTGGATACTGTTGTTCTGGTTTCATTTTTACCCTTATTTTCAAATGCTCAATTGGATGCAAAATTAAAATGCAAGCCAAATGACTTTTGTCATACAAAGCAGAGGAGTTGTTTTGTAGTTGGAATCTTTGCATTGGCATTGCTAGTTTTGCTGCATTTAATGACTTTAAATGTCAGTTAATTTTTATTCTGTAGAGGCTGGACTGGTAATACCTGGCCTTGCAAATTTACCTTTTACAGGTGTACAGACCCAATGGGCCAGATGGTGTTGGTGGCAGAGGACAGAGGATACATCTTCAGCTTTGGGATACTGCAGGGCAGGAAAGGTATGCTCCACCCCCCACCTTGCAAGTAAGGCAATTGCCATCAAGATAGATCCAAATGCAAACACGTAAATGAATTCTCTTTATTGTTACATTTTAATTGTATGACTCAAGATGGGAAAGTGTGCTTACTTTAACAGTGATGGAAAGTTTCCTATGACTACCTGTGACAAACATTATATTACAACTGTAATTTACAAGTATAGAACACTGAAACTGTAGGATTTGCTTTCTGTCTTTTGGAACTTTTCAGTTTATTTTTTCATGGCCAATGCATATACGTGCTTTTAAAGCTTTTCTTTTTAGAAAGCTTTCTTTTCTTCAGTTTTATTTACATTTCTGTGAGTATGTTGGTCTTGGGAAAGTCAGGTGAAGTCATCTCAGAGAATTATTTTCTCTTTGTCTATCAAAAGACTAGCACCCCAGTGGTTGATAGTCTTAAATCAAGAACTGATGTGTATATGGGACAAATTCCTATTCAGAGTTTGAATTGCATTCTTATTTTAATGTCTGAATCTTTATCAAGTCATGCTTTATAGTAGAAGACTTTGTTTAAAGTTCTCATGCTTGAATGAAATGTCTCCGAGAATTCCTTAGGCCTTGATTCATAGTAATATGAATAACATAATAATAATATAGTAATGTTAGCAATTCTTGTTATGCAGCCCCACATCAGCAAAACAATTATGATGAATATTTCATTCTGCTTAATTCAGTTTTATGACTGTATGGAATTGTATTTTCAAAATTACTTGTCAGATGAGCCGACTAATTTCCTTTTGCTTGTCTAGGTTTCGTAGCTTGACAACGGCTTTCTTCAGAGATGCCATGGGGTTTCTTCTACTCTTTGATCTGACAAATGAGCAAAGCTTTCTGAATGTCAGGAACTGGATAAGTATGACATTTTCTTCGTTTTTGCTTTCTTTCTTTGCATAGGTGGGGAGGGGACTCTGTGAATATGGAGTCTCACTGAGAAATAGAACTGAAAATACTCTTTTTTTTGTAGCTTTCTTAGTAAAAGAAAGTAAATGTTGCTTTCATAATTGTACTAGCTGCTAGTGGTGGCTTCTAGTGCTTACCTGAAAATCAGTTTTGCCTACTGAACTTGAATCTTAACCTATATGAAAACAAGCTGAGAGAACATCATATCCTTGGCTCTGGTGATAGTCAGTAATTTAAGTGTGTGGAAAGCCTATGCAAAACTGTATTTTCATAGAATCATAGAATCATTTAGGTTGGAAGGGACCTCCAAGATCATCAAGTCCAACCACCGACCCACCAGGGCGCCACAGTCCTCTGCCAAAACAGATCAGAATCTGTCAGGGTTGGAAGGGACCACAAGGATCACCCAGTTCCAACCCCTCTGCCAGGAGCAGGGACACCTCCCACTAGATCAGGCTGCCCAGAGCCTCATCCCGCCTGGCCTTAAAGACCCCCAGGGATGGGGCCTCAACCACCTCCCTAGGCAACCCATTCCAGGGTCTCACCACTCTCATGGGGAAGAACTTCTTCCTCACATCCAGCCTGAATCTGCCCACTTCCAGCTTTGCCCCATTCCCTCTAGTTCTGTTGTTGCTTGAGATCCTAAAAAGTCCCTCCCCAGCTTTCTTGTAGGCCCCCCTAAGATACTGGAAGGCCACAGTAAGGTCACCTCGGAGCCTTCTCTTCTCCAGACTGAACAGGCCCAACTCTCTCAGTCTGTCCTCGTAGGTTTGTCAGCAAAACTTAATGGAAAGTAAATATTACTAGGCTGGTGCAACTACGTGAAGGAGTTCCCAAACTCCATAATCCATCAGGAGAGGGAAGTATATCCTTTCCTGGCAGCTGACTGAAGATGCTTGGTGAGCATAACTCCTTAAGCTACAGATACACAGCTTCTGTGCAAACATTGTCAGCCTTCTGCTTCCCTGGCTTTTTCACTAGGTATGTGATAGTGGATGTGCACCTGTTCGCTGGCTCCTCAATGTACTAGCAGAAGTCCTGTGAGATAACAGAGAACATGCTTGTTTTCTGTCTTTCAAACAGTAATTTTCCCAAACGACTTTGTGTCCCCTGAAATGTGGTAAAGTTCTTGGTGAGCTTTATGTGTGACTCCCATTCATGTTGTTGCTGTTAGGTCAGCTACAAATGCATGCATATTGTGAAAACCCTGACATTGTATTATGTGGAAACAAGAGTGATCTGGAAGACCAAAGAATGGTGAAAGAAGAAGAGGCTAAGGAACTTGCAGAAAAATATGGGTGAGTAACTTCCTTCCAGTTATTGCTGTGTTTAAGGCAGAATGAAATGTTTGCTGTAACGTCTTTTTTGTATCCTGAAAGGCTATTGTGAGAATAAGCATTTCAGAATGCCTAACTGGCCAGTATGATGTCTTTTTTTTTTTTTTTTTTTTTTTCCCCAATAAAAATTTATGTTTTCTCACATTCC